GGCTCTCCCAGATCAGAGTCCTCGCCCTTAACCACGACACCGAACTGAGGTGCGTAAAGTCTGAAAGGGGAGATGCAAAGGGGGGTGGAGTATTGGAAACAACCAGCCCAATCATGGGGTCACAGAACCATAGAGTTGGAAGGAACCTCCAGGGTCATCTAGTCCAACACCCCTGCACAAGGCAGGAAATTCACAAATACCTCCCCCCCAACAGACACCCGCAGAGAAACGTCCAATCAGGGGAATGCAATGGCCCCCCAGGAAGTGGGAGTCATCCAGCACGCTCCCTGATTGATTGATTGACATATCAATCAGTGATACAAAAAGTTCTTCCTTTCGTAGCCCTGACAAGTCTCTTTCCCCCGACTTACCCTCAGCTCCACTTCTTTGCCCAGCAGGTCGTAGAGGGATGCGCCTTTGGAAGTGATCTCGGAGGCCAGCTGCCGGGCTGCCTTCAGCTCGCTGATCTAGACAGACGGGAGAAAGAGAAGGCGGTGACCTTCCTTGGCAGGTCCTGACACTCCCAGGGGAACAGGTCAAGAGACACGCAAACATTCCCAGAAAAAGATGGCGGCCAGAAGGGCCAAACGCTCCCCCCACCATAGATTATTCAGTGATATGATCTGCACAGGTTTCGGTGAGTTTGAACCCTTAAAAACAGCACGTGCTCCCGGACCAATCGGAAAACCCAAATCCTGCCTGCGAGGAAGAACCTTTTCCAACGCAAGAGGAGCCAACCTGAGTGAAAGCAGGAGCGCCTTTCATCCGGAAATATGTTTTTATCGAGATACCCGACACGGGGAGAACGCAATCTGTTTTCCCACCAAAGCTGGGACGAAAATGAGAGAGGAAAACAGAACGAGTAAAGCAGCTCAGCGCGGCTTGAAATACGCAGTAGTGCCATGTCACCAATGGCCACTCCCAATTATTCCCTCGAACCTAAATAACCGCATGAAGTACTCTTCTGGCTGTCAACTATGCTGCCATGGGGGTTGGGGAGTTCATTCTGTGTCTTGTTAAATTGCTATTGCATTCCTATCCCTGCTGTTTGGCCTTTGCTGAAATGCTTCTCTGTACAGATGTGCAGGAGGAGGTTGTGTTGTCTGGAGAACTCCTATGTACCGTGAGAGACTCCTGGTTCTCAGCTTTAGCCACCTAATGGTTGCCTGACTTATCCCACGCGCGGGAGGGTCCCTAATTGGCCAATGCCATGGGGGGGGTGCATACGAATACCCTATATCCTATTATGCTCTACTGGCTGGGGCCATTCCTAACAGTGCCTGTGTCACTGCATCTATAGCTTTGCAATAAAAGTATAACCGTTCCTGAATGCGTGCAGTTCGTTGTTAGCTGTGGATTCTGACACTGGCCCATAATGACAGTGGGGCGATTGGGGGCTCTGCCCCCTTACTTGAAGGGCCAGCCCCCCTGCTTCCTTAAAGGGCCCCCTCCTCCTCCTCCTCCTCCTCCTCCTCCTTCAGCAGGCTTCATCCCTAAAATATCCTGGAAGTTTCCAACCTGGAGTTGGCAACCCTATGTCC